ATATTACATATGTAACATAGCTAATATTTTTATGATACAGATTTTTAAATGGTATCCCAACAGCTTAAAGTAATCCTAGGTTCCTATTTACTTATATTATATCATTGTATATTCCTCGAAAAATTCACCTCTCCGTACGTTCTAAATTACTTACAATTTAAGGGACTCTTCGAAAATCTATAAGGAGTTTCCAATCCTTTAACAATTACGAGGGAGTATACGAATAACACGGAAGGAATTATTCTGGTAGAAGCGGTGCGTCAAAAGATGGTTTATCTTTTCCTTTGGATCTACTGCGTTTGTTTTTTTTAGCTGGTCTTTTGCTAGTCATCCGCAAGGCATCTTCCCTAGCGGGGATTTTGATGTTTTCCGGGGTACCTGAATTTTCGTTATCATTATTTATGCTTGATGGGTTAGACGAGGATAATGGTCGTTTATTACACGGTGTTGATTTATCTATTTCGTCGGTATGCATGACCGGTTCGTCAGAAAGTGCGATTGTAGGAAAATCTAATATTGATACGTTGTTATTATCCGCCACTTTAGTTTTGTCTGTAAACGTATCGGGGATATTCTTTGTTTCGCAGGTTTCTCTGTTGAATTCGCATTGTTTGGCAAGGTGTCCTTGCTGTTTATATATGAAACATACTGATGTCTCGGTTGCAAAGTATATACGGCACTGTGTATCTGCGAAGATTAATAGTATTGACTCTGGAATTTTTTCAAGATATACAGAATCCACATAGATCTGTCGTCGAAAACTCAGAATGTGGGCGAAGCCAGGCTCTGATATCCCTGTTCGTAGAAAACTAATATTAGAAGCTGGTTTAATTCCCATTTTCGTTAACTCCGTTTCGATCGCATCATGGGGGATGACTGGGCAAACATTAGATATGACGACTCTTTTAAGTCTTGTTATGAGTGGCCTAATTTCTAGGGAGTGGCCCTGAACTACAATTTGTTTGTAGTTGCTAATAAGGTTGTCAGCTGGTTCTTTGTTTGCCAGGAAAACATATATACGACCGTTTGAGATTTTTTATGCAAAACGAATTTCATTGGGGTTTATTAGATTACCTAAACTGGACAAATATTCCTTAGTGGGAAGTCCTTCTTTCGCTTCGATAATGATAGCTTGATTCTTTTTTGGGAAGATGCTGGCAGATGTAACTGTAGTTGTAAGATTTCTGTTTCTGAGTTGATGAGATCATTTTAGGTAGCTTTGCTGAGGATTCCATCCTAGAGGGTTAAAATATCACTTATTGCCCCTCGTAGAATGCTTTGCACCTTGGTGTAATCGTCAATTAGGTAATTTCGGCTTTTTAATTCTCTTGAGGAATTTTGGCACTTTAACACTGAAACGTTGTCATCGGTACTATACCACTAAAGCCCGAGGCTTGCACGCGTACGTTTGTAAACACTAAGGCATAAGTACGTCTGTTCACTTCGAGCGTTCGTGAAGGTCTGGCGTTGTTTTGTTTGCCCCTAAAATATGTCTCTTTGAAATACATACGTGTTGATTGTGAAATGGTGATTTATTATTTTTATTGTTGCCTCGATCCTCAACAGTATTTAAGAGAGAATTTAATGAGACAATGTATTTTATTAAATCATTTTTTTTTTTACTTTTTCCAAGATCATTATCAGTTTTTATCTAGGAAACGTGTATTTTTTCTATTGCATCTTGTAGAGCAAACAAAAAATACGTTGAATACCTAAAATGCAATGAAATTATTCTATGGTTTTTCCAGATGAGTGACTGATTTTGGGATGAATGGTTTGTTGTATGTGCATGCGGGCGACCGGCGCCGCGATATTTGGTAAATAGTGTGACTGCGTTTGGAAAATCTTGAGTGGCTGAAAGAATGCGAGGAAGAGTGTCTAGAACTGAGCGACTGGACTGTGAGAAAAGCGTGTACGTGACTGCGTGAATTTTGATCATGGACGAAAGATGCAAGTGAGAAGGGTGCAGGGGTAAGAAAAACAGAACGAATGGGGTGTGCATTAAAAGCGAGTGGGAATGCGTGGCCGGGGGATAGTTGAGCGTGACTTTTTCGAGCAAGATACTCGGTGAGAGACATTGTGAGAGAGAGTTGGCGTGTTTTCTTATTAGCGAGTCAGCGAGTTATATTGAAATAAAGTGTTCTTCACATTTTTATTAGTGTTACCCAGTGAGTGTATCTTTTCTTCTTTTTATTCCTTACCACGGCAACACGTGGGATTTTTAATAAATTAATCCTACATTATAAACAGACAAAATAGTAGTAAGGAGAGCAGAGATTAAAGAATAACTATCTTTTATACACTCGGCGACAAGAAAATAGCATGCCTAAAATATTTAATGTTTTCACAAATTTCAGGTAATAAATTGATGCACTTTATATGTATATGTAGTTTTATTGCATAGTAAAATACATTGATAAAGAAACCCCAAAAAAAATAAGTTTTACCTTTTATGTATACAATAAAAATAATTAAATAACGATGCGACAAAATGATATCTCATATTATTGAAATTAGCAAAAATGATTAGAATTTCGTGCAAAAACATACGTTTATTATTTGATATATTCTTCCTCATTCTATATGATACCCAACATACACCTTAACAAT